GTGATTGAAGTTTCAAATAAATACCCAGTTGCTGAACTATGTTTTCGAGTCTTGTGAATTTACATTGACAATGGCCTATTATGACTATATGACTCAACACACATGACTTCAAAACAATGCAAATGTATTTCCATAGCATATCTCAAAACATCTGCAGTTTGACCAAAACAGGCACAGATTACCAATGTATACAAAGCAACAACAAAAAAACTATAAAAACAGAAGCTGTGAAGGTGTGAAGCTTAACTCTATCAAAAGCAACCCGGTGTCACGGCAAGATGTGACGATTTACCATGCCGGGAGACGTGAATATGTCACCATTTCGTCCCTTCAAACGTGACAATTACACGGTATTGTTAACATGGCCCAACCAGTGGAGATATACCCGGAAATGCCAAGAAAATGCTACCCCGGCGGTCGGTTGTTATTGTCAATATTAATATAATAATGATTTATTTTGTAATAGTCACACTCGATTACGCCGATTTTCTTGTTGCCCCAGCTGGTCGACACTTCTTTTAGAAGAAACAAAGACTACATTAAAATATGAAAAATAATACAAGGAAGACAAGAGACCACATTGCAGAGACATCTATAGTCCGAAATTACTTTTGAAAGGTGATGAAAGATGATGGACTTTTTTTTGTTGAAGAACAGCTTCGGTTCATGTTAATTTACAAACTCTTCAACTAGAACCGTAGTTATATTTAAAAACATTTTAAAAGGCCTCACGAAATACTTTAATGAAAATTTAAATTTAAATGTGAAGGAATGTGTGTATAACAAAATACATCCGTCATTAACAATACCGAAAACAGACGTAGGCAAGATCCTCAGCTCGGTGATTCGATGGTTTAGCCGCAATGCACGTTGGGATATGGTGTACATGAAAAAAATTGTTTAAATAAAATAATACTTTATTCCGAGTGTGCTTGCTTTTCTCTTTGAAAGTCATCACATAACGGCATTGTAATACACGGTTCGGCTGCATTAAATATTACATATCTGCCGTAATTCTCTATTTATAGAGCCCTGATGAGAAGACTTCTAGACAAACAGGAAGAACTGCCGCCAAAACTGAAAACGTGACGTGGATCATAAATATATCAGCAATTAAACAACATCTTACATTTCTTTTCACACAATGCGTCTCCTTGCAATATCAACACTAATTTGGTTGACTTTTATATTTGATCCAATCAGTAGATAGGCTGTATTTACACCATAACGGTGCACAGCTGATAAAAAGGGACACCTAGTGGTTAAAGCACGTTATTGAATTTTATTATTTTGTTATTTTTCACAAAAATAAAACCATCAATAGCAAAAACAGAATTTACTGTCATTAGTAAACCAGTCAAAGAAAAAGATCATAAATGGTTTTGTTTTACATATATTTTAAGGATAATAATAGCAGTGTAACACTGTCTATGACACTTATAACACTGATTTGAAAAACATACAGAAAAAATTCATTCACTGCCCTTAATAAAGTATTTAAATATACATTTCAGGTGTGCTGTTTTGTTTAGATATGGATATTGATTATGGAATAAAGGTTTTGACAAGACCTGGTGTAACAATAATCACCTCAGTGTTTAAAGAGTCTCGAATCAACTTTGTATACTTTATTTTTGCAAAAACAGATAATTAACATCTGGAGCTCTTTTAATGTCCTTTTTGATTATTGTTACACCAGGTCTTGTCAAAACCTTGATTCCATATTCAATATCCATTACAAAACAAATGTTAACAATACCATGTAACTGTCACGTTTGAAGGGACGAAATCGTGACATCTTCACGTCTCCCAGCATGGTAAATCGTCACATGTTCACGTCTTGCCGTGATACCGGGTTGGTCTATGCAGCCTCATCTTTTGATTAAGGATGCCAAAATTGTTCACACATTTGCAATGTTTTCATGTAGTAATGAGTGAAATAATCTACTTTATAATTGCATCATAACCATAATATTTCCTGTCTGATTAAATATTTGATGTGATGATAGTGACTGTATATATATAATGTTCCTCCTCAGAATGTTTCCCAGGATGGATGCAGTGTCTATCGCTCACCCAGAGCTCTGAGGCCTCAGCTGGGGTTAGGAGCGGTCACCAGGCAGCCTGCAGCCAAGACAAGAGGTCAGATGGGTCAGAGGTCAGCCCCAGTCCCAGGCCAGTCTGCTCAGCCAGCCGGAGCGTCCAACCAAGGCAACCAGGACCCTGCAGGTGAGACGGTGGTCTGCTGGCCAATTTGGTGGACATGTTTAACATGCTCTTATTTGAGTTTATGTGTTTATGTTGCAAGATGAAGGGTTCTAAACCATAAAGACCATTGTGGGAATATATATAATTAGAGCTTTTTCATCTTCAAACATTGCTATTCTGTGCCGTCCCATCCTCCTCTAGTCGAGCTGCAGAGAAAAATGTTGGCACGCTGAGTGATTCACCTATTTTATTTTTTCCCCTGTGATGCGTAAGATGAGGCTTAGCTTTTTGCACCTAAACATTTGAAAGCAATGTAACAGACACATCCTACCCACTTGCACTGCATATTTCTACCTTCTCACATAAATAATCTAGTCAGCTTCCACATATGGTGTCTCTTATTATGTCCAATTTAATCAGAATGATAGTTGTCATATGTTTTTTTGGCTACTTGTGTGTTGAATGTTGTGCTGTTATATGTAAGTAAATCATATTTTCTTCACTCACAACAATGAGAAAGGTCTTCTTACACCATCTGCATCTGTGAAAAATAATCCTGATCCTAAAGTTATTTTAATTCAGGTCTGTCAAGAACTTTAGTAACACTAACGAATCAGGGATGGCACAATTATTTAACCTACAATTGCCAAGCGTAATGTCATTCATGGAATATCAGTTTCAATATTGAATTTGAAGAAATCATATTTCTAATTTTACTTCTACATTCCCTATGTGTAAGTTTCTAATAGACACAGAATGTGTGTCCCATATCTCATAAGGCTCTCCCATTAATATTGCATATTTCCTCATGAACCTCCAGGAGATCAGAAGAGGTCTGGTCTCCGTCCTCCAGGCTTCTCCGCCCTGCCAAATTCCCGTCTGGCTACCCTCGGCTTTGTCCGTAGCTCCAGTGCCTCATCTGTGTCCAGCAACCAATCAAACGACAGCAATCAAAGCGATCCCTGCCGACCCTCTGAGCGTGAGTCACACTCAACATATTTTGAATATGAATTAGGGCTAAACCGTTTTCACTACTTTATTTTAAAATGTGTGATTCAAACAAAGATATTTCGGACGTCAGACAGTGCTCCGCCGGATTTTCCAGGTTTAGGTTTTATCACATCTACATCTCCTCGTTAGTTTACCAGAAGTCATGGCTGCTTCTACTATCCTCTGTTACTATAGTAACCACCGCTCACATTTCATTTTTCATGCATTTTATCACAAGTAGGCGCTGAAAGCTGCTGCACCACCGAGGCTGAGATGAAGAACTATTGAAGTTGCTCTCCCCCCCTGCTGCACACTGCAGTATTTTATCCTTCAAAATACTTTATTCTTGATTTAGGGAAATCTTTGCTGCTCAAATGCACTGGATAAGCTTATAGGCCTATCTCTGAGTTTGACAGAGATGTAAGAAATGTGTCAAAACAAGCTGGAGAGTTTCCAGCTACTTATAGCGTTTAATGATTATATGTATAGGAGTCCAAATGTGTTATGTTACAACATGGAGCTACTGCAGAATAATTTGTTCATATTGCTGACTCATACTGTACCAAGCAATATCTGAAAAAAAAGTTTTTCCCTCCTTCATTTTTACATTCATCCCATGATCCCACACAAAGTGACACTTCTAACAGCCGTACTGATTCAATCTTTGCTTAATTACTGTCTGCTACCTATCAATATCAAATTTACAAAGAAACAAGAACAAGAATACGTTTATTCAAAACACCCCGATGAATTGTCTGGATAAGATTGCAATTGTCTAAGCTTAAAGTAAGTGTCCCGGTGGCATTTGTACTGACTGTGCTGATATGATGATGAGTTATTGCAGTCATCGCTTGAGTGTCACCACATTTGTGTCAGCCTTAAACCGCTGACTGCTGCCATTTCCTGCCCTTCACTTTTACTGTATAATTCTGAACTGCTGGATGCAGACACTCCTTCAGCTTCTTGTTCAGTTAGGGTCCTTACACTGGGAAAGAAATATAAAAGATGGTGTCTCATGCACGATGCAGACCCCTAGCCAGTAGCAGATTTCCTTATGTATAATCTCTGAAATGAAAATGTTTCGGCATCAGCGGCGGCTGCAGTATGTGTCAAAAAGAGAGAGGCAGGGTGTGGTATGACAGGATCATCTGATAAAGCTTCTTTTTACTCCAACACTTCCAACCAACCTCTCTCTTGCTGATGTATCTCCTCCACAAACGTTCATTGAAGTCAAGTGAGATAATGGTCTTTCTGCTTTAGATTCCCCTCCGTAAAAGACTCCAATGTACACTTTACTGGTTTACTGGGTTATCTTCGTACTTTTCTAACACTGATTCATCAGAAAACAAGCACAGCGTAAGATGATAACCTGTAGTCATGTAAATGTGGCCTACTCAGTTTGTATTGCCATTGTTGTCTGTTTTTTCTTGGGTACAGATTTGCTGTGTTGTTATCAGCTGCTTTAGTAAATAGATGGATGTACCTGATATATTAGGCAGCTTGCACGGCGGTGTTCCCCTTCAGGCTGTAGCTGCAGACTGAGATGCTTCATTATAATGCCACTGTATGCCTTGAATGAAGCCACATTAACTGGAGATGCACTTTAACAACATATTTTGACTGAGAGTGAGTATATCCCTCCATTATGAGCACCAGGACGCTGGTGACGTATCAAATTAAATGTTCACTTAGCTCAGTGAGTGCACTCTACTGTGTGTGTTACACTGCAGGCAAGATACAATAGTTATGTTGTCTGTGTTTGTGCTACAGTGTGTGTGTCACTGGTACTCAGTGATAACTGTTTACACTGTTTGCACTTACTAGTATTAGTATCAAAATATATATAATAGAGTATCACATTTACAGAAACATTTACAGATATTCAGTTTTTCTAATTTTTCTTCATAGTAAAGTAATATATTAGCATTTTGGGCTGTTGGTCACACAAAACAAGCCATCTGAATGCTGCGTTGATCCCTGACATTTCATAGACATGGTATAGCTCTTAGAGACTAAATATATTTATAAATCCAACTTAATGCGTTGCGTACCAGTCCCTTCACAGCCATTGAAGCAGCACAAATCTCTGTGGCATGTTATGAATATTAAGCCTCTTCTCAAGAGGAGATCTGATAAAAGTGAGTGAGGTGGAGACCAATTTCAGTTTTAAACACATTTTTAACAAAGAGCTTTAACAATAGCTTATGTTTAGTTTAGTTTATTTATTTTTTTCGAGCGTGTAAAACCAAAGAAAATACAAATGAAACAAAAGATGATACAGACATGATACAGTACTATACAAATGAATGCAAAAACAAAACGAAATATTTAATTAATAATTGAATAATCAATCAATCAATGTTTATTTATATAGCCCAATATCACAAATGTTACATTTGTCTCAGTGGACTTCACAGTTTGTACAGAATATCAGTATGACAATACGACACCCTCTGTCCTTAGACCCTCACATCGTACAAGGAAAAACTTCCAGAGAAAAACCCACAGTTTAAAGGGGAAAATGGGAGAAACCTCAGGGAGAGCAACAGAGGAGGGATCCCTCTCCCAGGACGGACAGATGTGCAATAGATGCCGTGTGTAAATTGAAAAGATAATACATTTGCAACATAGGTAGTCCAAATGTTTGGAAATGCATGTGTGTATAATAGGAAGATGAATCCACGAGGATATCCATCCAGGACTTATGATCCAGGACCCCAGCCACGACTCAAGATCCAGGACTCGCGATCCATGACACAGGACCGCAGGATCATCCATGACTCCGGATCCCGGCGTATATAGACACCAAAAAGAAAGACATTTGGGGAAGCTGGGTTAATCGGAACATGAGAGTACACAGGTATAGACAGAGAGAAGGAAGAAGTAAGATGTCCCCCGACAAACTAAGCCTATATCAGCAAAACTAGGGGCTGAATCTAATCAGCCCTAACTATTAGCTTTATCAAAAAGGAAGGTCTTAAGCGCACTGTTTTGTAGTATTGTTCTTGTATTTATGCAAATTAAACATACTTTCGTCATGTCGCTTCTTCTTTGCTACCTTTACTTGGACTCGGATGACAAAGTGGAGGATTTAGGTAGGTGTACAACACTTGTTTGACAGAAAAAGACTGCACTGAAAATGACACGTACGTAGCCGTTGTCCAAAAATAACATCTGCGGCTAGATGTTTTGGAAAAACAAAGCGCAAACACTAACCTGCAGGCAACAAAAAAAGACAGCAGCAAAGTCTCAACTACAGGAAGACTGGTTTCACCCATAACCACATAACTCAAAAGCCTGTACATATCAAGTTGATATGTACAGGCTTTTGAGTTATGTGGTTATGGGTGAAACCAGTCTTCCTGTAGTTGAGACTTTGCTGCTGTCTTTTTTTGTTGCCTGCAGGTTAGNTTGCCGGGAACCGCACGTTCAGGAGTTGTGTTGCCTGCCCCCATACTCAGGAGTAGAGGGGGTCGGCGTGTTGTTCCTCCCCGCCGCACGGACTTTGTTTATCTGTGAATTCTGGGGGGGCTTGTGTGGTGACTCTAGTTAACCATAATTCACTTTTGGGTTACAGTTCCTACACGGACCTTGTTTAGGGTAACATCGAGTATTTAGGTTGCCAAGCTAGAGCTAGCAAGGCACTCTAACTTGACTCTCATCACTGAGCACATGTTTGATATCTCTATGGCTTGATGGAAAATAAAGAGTGGAATTCCATCTTAAATACTCCGCCTCCGACTCCTTCTTACCGGTACTACACCATAGACATTAATCTCATACATGTTCATCATAGCCCTTCCCGCTGACACTTTACCTCTGCCACATCATAGACAATATGCACATTAATGCAAACGATGTCATACTCCTTTCTGCACATATTCTGAGTGGAGAGGAACCGGGGTTTTTTGCTTTGTATGTCGGGGGCGGGATATTCACGTGATTGGTTGTTGGTCGCGTTGCTCGCAAAAATCCCCAAGCTCTCAGACACGCCCAGCTCCAAGATTTTCAAGATTTTTTTAAAGCTGCTGTGTGGACGTACCGTAAGAATGATGTCATACAGTACAAATATCCTTCATCTTAAACAACAATACTTAAACTTATACTTACACCACGAAAAGGAGACTTAACAAAACATAAACTACATAATTTAAACCTTAAAGGGGACCTATCATGAAAAATGCACTTTTTGATGTCTTTTATAAATAAATGTCCCCAAATCTCTAACAACGGGGGCTACAACGGAGCTGATATAGATTTGAATCCAATCAGAAACTTTGCTGTCAGAAACAATGCCCAACGTTTTCTTTGGACGTAATATGGTCTTTGTTTACATTAGCAAGCATCGCTAACACTCAGAGCTAACCTGTACTGGAGAGAGTATAAAAAAAGCAGGAAATAAAAAAAGGAACTCACCTTGTGGTAAACCTGCAAGAGAGAAAGCATTTGAGCTCAATACTGTTTCAGAAATCATCCTGGATGTGGTTTGGAACATGATATGGCGTTTAATCACAGCAGCATTTAGCTGTATCTCGTAAAATTCTGAGCAGGCACAAGCTCCCCTTTTTTTTTCAAGCTAAGGACCCAAAATCAGCGCTTCTCTAACAGGGCTGAAATAGAGGGATATGAGGGATGTCTAAAATGCATAATCTGTTTGGTATTATGAGCAAAAGACATCATAGACATGTTTTTTTATATATTTGCATATATCTGAGAACCATAATATATGCCTAAAAATAGCATAAAGGAGACTTTTAAAACTACAAAACATAAACAACAAAACCATGAGAAAGTAGGAGAGCATGATCTCCTTGTGCCTGTACATGCTCTCATGTTTCACGACTTCGATGCCACATATTGTTTATTCATAAGCTGCACTCAACAGGTGTCCGACTGAATGGGCGTGAAGGTTAGAGTATAATGGAAGAGCACAGGAGCTAAACTTTGAGCTTTCAAGCACAGGAGCCATAGACTGGTTTGGCTCTGTGGTTCATGTTACCAGTTGGCACTACAAGGTGCGAGAGTCCAAGAGTCATACACCAAGTAGAGGGTATGAGTTAACGTGTGTGTCAGATGATGAGGGGAGGGGCCAGGCCACACCCAGCAGGGAGAACAAACAGGTAAACAGTCGCTGCGCTGTTTCACTCCATCACTCCGACAACAAACTCACTAATGACCTCAACAACGTCCAGCACAGCGGAGATGGTTACACAGGGTAAACTTCAGATTGCTGTGGAGAATGTGGAAGGTAAATACTTTTTATGATCCATCAAAAAATGAGTCTGTGACTGTCATTAAATGAGGATTAAAATGCCAGGGATAGCATATTGTGCTTTAGGGATCAAGGAGGGATGTCACTGTTTATCAGATAATCAGAGATGACACAATTATTTGGCACAAAACTAATTTCAATTAATTATAAAGCGTTTAATTAAGTTAAATTCCATTTCCCATTCTTATTCCAAGTATTTGTTTGAATCGGTGTTTCTATATTTTGTCTTTTTGCATAAATTTGCAAAAAGTTGATGTTGAATGCAATTTTATTTTTTCGCATCGACTGTTTTTTCTTTTTAATTAATAAATTATTTATCAAGAAGAATATAATCATGATACTATAGATTATTAAAATGAGTGTTTGTTGCAGCCCTATACTGACTGAAAAACGTACCCTCAGACTTTGAATGAATATCCCGTCTGTAACTAAAGGAGACAACTACACCACAGTGTGAGCATTATCACGATGGTACATCAAGTTCAGCAGCTTACCCTGTCACTCCGCTAGATGAGAATTAACATGACTTTCCCTCAGATATTAATTACATTGTTAGTGAAAAATTAGAAGGGTGGAAATGACAACAATACATGAGGAACCAAGGTGCCATGACAACTATGCAAAACACTCTTCCTCTTCTACCTTTTTCTCTCTGTACAGATACAAACTCAGGAGGTTTGGGATGTTTCGGCTGGCTGTTGGTCCTCATATCCCTCCTCTTTGTTACAGCAACCTTCCCAATCACATTATTCATGTGTGTTAAGGTACAGCATATTCTCAGTAATGTACACTAGTTTAGAAAATGTCAGTTGTGTAAAAATTGTTGGTAGGTCAGAAATCCTAAAGCTAATGCTTAGTTGATGACACAAGTCTAGTAAATATATAATTTCAGAATATCCCTCCTCCATTTTTGCATATCACAGTCACTGATGGCACCTAAATACATATACTAGCTAAGACAGGGTGACTGACCAACAGCATATTTAAAAAAAAAAAAAAGAATCAAATGTGAAGATGGTATGTGTTACTGTAGCTCGGGAGAAATCATGATTTGATAAGATATCAATTCTGCCTTTACGCCAATGGTTTTTCCCTTTTTTATGTTCTATATGGATGGCTGTGTTTCTAACATACAGATAGTGAAGGAGTACGAGCGAGCCGTCATTTTCCGACTCGGACGGATCACGGACAGGAAACCTAAAGGGCCAGGTTTGTCACTACATGAATACACAATATAGGCAAAATGTTCTTAAAACATTCTTAAAAAGTAGTTACCTTGCTATGATCTAATATACTTTATCTACAATCTTTACAAACTGAGCAGGTCTTTATTTCCTTCCAGGTCTGTTCTTTGTTCTACCCTGCACTGATACTTTTGTGAAGGTTGATCTGAGAACAGTGTCTTTTGACATCCCCCCACAAGAGGTACGTTGTTTTGTTCCAGTCACGACCAAATGTGGGAATATCAGTTGTGTCTCTCCTGTATCACAGCTCCTCTCCATCATTAATGAAATCTGACTACCATCTTCCTTTGTGATCAACTTAGTAGCCGCATCATAACTACAGCTTTGCACCTCTCAGATCCTCACCAGAGACTCAGTGACAGTGTCCGTGGACGGTGTGGTGTACTTCCGCATACACTGCCCCATCTCCTCTGTGGCCAATGTGAGCAACGCACACTCATCCACACGGCTGCTGGCTCAGACCACCCTGAGGAATGTACTTGGGACCAAAAACCTGGCAGAACTGTTATCTGACAGAGAGGGCATATCCCTCAGTATGCAGGTGAGAAGTGAGGATTTTACATAGTCACTCTAAAAATATATCAAAGTAATGGTTGAAAGAAATGGAAAATAGTAATTTATGTTCTGGTGGCCCTATATAAAAGAGACAAAGTAGGCCATTTAAAGTATTTAAAAAAAATACCATTAATGAAATCATAAAACATACTTAAAAAGTCACAGAATAGAATGTCATTAGGATATCAAAAATGTACAGTGGCATAAAGTATGTCGTAAAATATATATTTAAAAACTGCCTATATAGTAAGTCAGAAAAAGGTTACAATTTGCCTTAAAAAATGATAAAGTCAGAGGATATTATTTCATAAAACAGATTTTGAAATAACAGATACATTAAATACAAAAAATCAGTACAATAGTATGTTATTAAAAAAAGTTGATAAAAAACATAATTAAAATAATTAAACAACTAATTTCTGGAGCTAGCAATATTTAGCAACGTGGGCCAAGTATTTATTATTCTTTATTCCTCTGCAGGAATCTCTGGATGATGCCACTGACCCGTGGGGCATTAAGGTGGAGCGAGTGGAGATCAAGGATGTGAAGCTGCCCCAGCAGCTGCAGAGAGCCATGGCAGCCGAGGCAGAAGCCAGTCGGGAGGCCAGGGCCAAGGTCAACAGGCGGAAGATTTATTTTCTAATTTTCCTCTAACCGTGAAATAGGATGGATGTTGATAGAAAACATTTGTAGAACTAATCTTGTCTGTCTGTGTTTCAGATCATTTCTGCAGAGGGAGAGATGAACGCTTCCAGGGCTCTGAAAGAAGCCTCCCTGATAATCGCTGAGTCACCCTCTGGTCTCCAGCTGCGATACCTGCAGACCCTCAACACCATCGCAGCGGAGAGGAACTCCACCATCATCTTCCCTGTGCCCATAGATATGCTGCAGAACTTCATGAAGAAGTAATATTTATATCATTACTCTAGTTATTTTGACTGTTATAAGCTTTAGTGGTATCTCTTTCAGATACTGTACACTTCGTTATTACTTCCTATTGAAATGTTCCCTTTAAGATTGGCAAAATATAGAAAAGAACGTCATGCAATCAAAGATGTATCCACACTGGAAATAACTTTTGAACAAATTATGTTTTTATCGTGATTTAATACTTAAATACAAAGTGCAACATATACTGTACAGTGTAGACATACATTTCTCATCACTAACCACAATATTTTAACCAGCTAAGCTACAGTTGCGGTTCTGAAGGAGGTCAAATAAATAAATAAAACAAAAGCACAAGAAAAGTAAAACAAAGAACAATGCACGATGACCTTATAAAGACATGCTTTCATATAAACCAGAGCCTCAGTTTCTGATATACTGAATACAATGTTAACCGTAAACAATCAACAGAAGTACCCACATCCACGTGAAACACCAACTTTTCTGATATTGGATGTAAACTGTAAACAAAACCTCATATCTAGTGTCAAACAAACATTCAGGAAATGAGTAAAAGGTCATGTCCACGGGACACAGAGGCGATCAGTGCAATCGGAGAACCTGATGGAGAGGAAGGCCATTTCCACTCCACAGAACACAGTAAAGTTAAATCTATATCTGCCTTGCTGCTCATACATAACACAACTCACCTGCAAACATACTGTATCACCGCTTGATCATATTTCCACATGTTGGGGGCCGAGGGGATCTGATTTTTGTAGTATATTATAGTATTAAAGCAACATTTCTTCAATGTATTTGTACATATTTGCTGATTGCACTTTGTATAACATATTTATACATATTCTGTACATTCAAATCATATCATTCAATGGACTACCTGCAAAACAGACATTTGAGCTGGGTGATTATGTAAACATGAGCAAAAATTAAAATGGGATTAATACCAACAGAAAAAGATATGGCAGTTTCTTCCCTTTGCTGACTAATTATTCTCCACAATACCTGAGATTATAATCTAAAATAATAAATGAGGTAACCGTTTGCAGTTTTCGAGGATTGTTCTAACTACTTTAGTTTTCTCATTACATAAATGTTGGTTTTTACCTCTCAATAGGGTTTTTGCCAATTTTGAAGGTTTCAAAAATAGAAATATTGTATAAATTAGATTTTCACCTTATACAGTATTTGTTCGCAAAAAAGTGTACAGCAACAGATACAGCAACAATTCAAAAGACAAATAAAAATAACTACAAATTCAACATAATGAACATATTGGATATATGTGTTCAGGTCAATACTGTACATTTTGACAGCCATCAATTATAGACCACAATGCAAGGAATGCTGTGCTTAATGGTTTCCTCTTTGGTGGTATCTGCAGATCCTGCACTTGTGTGGGAAATCATTTTATTTTCTTAACCTAACTGAAGCCAATCTCACATTCAAAGAAATTTGTATAACACCATGATATATTTTCTGTGTTAATTTGAATAAATCCTGGTGAGTTTTATTAAGAATAAGAGGTTACTTGTGTTGCCGTCTACACACTTCCTGCCATATTGTCACACTCTAGGTAACCTTAAAATAAAATGCATAACTGGAAGACAGAACATACTTTAGAGAGAGCAATACATGTACACGCTTCTACAAACTTATAGTCAATAGTATAGTTGGCAGTTAAATGGATTTATGAGTTGTAATCATACATTTCAGGGTCATCACTGATATCTAGTTTCTAGGAGAGAGAGATAAGGTAGGATTGGTAGTCATTCATACACTCCTGATATATGAAATATTTCAGAATGAAAATGTTAACATACCCCAGAGAAGAATCCGCACTTTGAGAGTAACCAGGTAGTTCTGTGATTTTACTCAAAGTATTGCCTGTGCCTAGATAGAAGTTGCTGGTGGGAGAGAATGGACGGAGAAGACGCTTCTTGTGTTTGTCCTTGCACTTGTGATGTTGGAAATGTCTTGTTCATCCATCATCCTGAGCGCTGGATGAGAAGGTGGTGATGTAGATGGAAATGAGGCACGGTACTTTGAGCCTGCTCTCTGAAGTCTAGAATGACTAAAATCCCCTTCAGTCCCACAGCACGTCTGTTCAGTCATTTGGAATAGAGAAAGAGGATTCCCTCCTGATCGTTTATACAATTCTTTAGGTCAGAGTTTAAAAGTCCTCGGGTTTGACTTTGGAAATGCACCGCACGTTCCACCATGTCCGTCCGTCAACATACTGGTAAATCCTTTAAACATTCAAGAAGAGTTTTTAAAAAATCATGGTTTCCGATGCCAGAAACAAGAAAGCGTTTGATACGATAGCCTCCCTGGAGGGTGTCATTGATGGTAGGAGTGAGGGCGGGCCGGAGAGCCTGGTCCAGAGAGGGGGCGATGGAGGGGGGAGGCGCTGGGGGACATGTGAGGGCTCAGTTCGCCTGTCTGAAGACGCCACAGCAGCTCCTCGTTGTTGCGACTCAGACGTTTCTTCTCCTTGCTCTCCTTCTCCACGTTCACCTGCAGGTGAGCATTATCCTCAGAGAGTTGCCTGAGGAAGAAAAGTGGTAGGAAAAGGTCAAAATACAAGTGACTAGCAATACAATCGTTTCAAATGCAGGAGTCAGAACTTTCCAACTGCAAGGTCACAGCTTTAACAGTTTTTCCCACCGCTGTGTTTGTCTAAAAAGGTTCTCTCTATGTGCAAAGACTGTATAACCCTTGAGCACTATATTGTACTATACATATTTCTAAGTAATATTTGGAGAAGATCAACAGTTTTTATGACAAGATGCTGAATTTTGGCAGCAGAATTAAAGATTTCTGTAACTACTTTTTATATTGTATTAATGTGCCATCTTAAGTCCACCTACATTCACTTCGACAGGTTAGAACTAGTTTTAAACATGTGTGGGAATTAACTAAGTACATTCACTCAAGTACTGTACTTAAGTACAATTTTGAGATACCTTTAATTTACTTGAGTATTTCCGTTTTATGCTATTTTGTACTTTTACTCCACTACAACTCAGAGGTAAATCTTTTACTTTTACTCCACTACATTTATTGTGTACCTTTAGTTACTTCTCGGATTTGGATTAATAATGGGAAATATATTCAACACTTTAAAAATACTTTAGTTACACCTGGAGAAAATTCACAAGCTACCCTGCACTATACAAAGTAAAAGAAACGGCACCTTTACCAGCTTTGATACACACATTAATGCATCAATAATTATAATCAAAAGACGAAATATAAACTATTCTGGAATGGATAAATCTGCATAATGAGTATTTTTACTTTGGGTACCTTAACTGTATTTTGTTAATACTTTTGTATTTTTACTTGAGTTACATTTTGATTGCAGGACTTTTGCTTATAACAGAGTATCCCTACACTCTGGTACTTCTACTTTACTCAAGTACAAGATCTGAGTTCTTCTTCCACCTCTGGTTTTAAATGTGCACTGGCATGCTTATCTGACCTGGACACAGCAAGGTTATTGTCAATTCTCTCCTTCAGGTCCTCGTTCTGCTGCTGTAACACTTGTACTCTCTCCTCCAGGTACACATTCTTTTCAGCCTGCTCGAAAACACAGGAGAAAGATGCACCACATTAAATTCTTTAAATGAGGTATGACATTATATTTCAGGTGTAACATGATGAAATGACAATTCGAGACAGAGACATTTATATTTGGGTTTATAGTAGACTAACAGCCTATATTAGCAAAAAATCATTATATTTTATAGTAGGCCATACAATAGTATAGTATGTATGCCATAAAGAAAGTTACAAGTATTTTATGTCATTCAATGTTTTATAAAATGTTGTCATACAAAGTCATTTTATAGTATACCATTACATGTCTTTAAATATGGTATACGGTATATAGTATAGTATGTCATACATAAAAAAAAGTCATAGCAGAGTATGTCATGAAGATGTTTTCCGTCATTTGATATCGTTATCTTAAACAACATTTGATGTGTTATTCATAATTGCAGCTAAATCAAACAGAAGCTAGACATCAAATTTGAAGCCTACTATTTTCTCCAGTTCTGAGATCTTTTGTTCCTGTTGATGGATTTGTTGATTCTTCATCTCCAGCACTTCTTTCAGACTCTTCAGGTCCTCATCAATGTGTTTATACGGGGCCAACGCATCCTGACAACAGCAGACAACATGAGTCAAAACCAATACCAGTCTTAAAAACCATTTCACAACTCCAGCAGCTCTTATTCAGCAAATGTGCTCAAAGCAGTCAGCACATGGCCCTGTACTGTTTCATGCAGCGGTTACCAATATCTGCTCATCGGTGCTCTTGCGTAGAGCTTCTTCAAAGCGCTTAGCTCGATCTCTCAGGCTGCGATTCTGAAACGTCAGCGTGTCCACCTGATCCTGGTGACCAGACAAAAATTAAAAGGTTAATTACTGTAAATAATGTATTTTCCCAAACGTTTTTTTTAGGGAGGACTGTTTACCTGCAGTGACAGTCTGATCTTTTGAAAGTCTTCTTCTAGAGATTTGGTCTGCTGTTCATGGGCCATCTTCAGATCTGATTTAAGTACAAAATATGATATTATTTCTTTCAGCAGTGTGATTCAGTAGAGGAGATCAACAGGGTTAAAACGTGGCGCTTACTCTTCACAGTCCTGGCATGCTCCTCCTGCAGAGTGGCAAGAGTGTCGTCGTGAGCCGTCTCCATCTCCATCAAGGAAGCCTCATGATCTTCACTCATCTCCTCAATCTAGAGTAGGCACATGAGGAATTATCTTATTTTGGAGATTAGGTTTTCACTTCACATTTAGACACTAGTGTCCATCTGATATCCAGTCTTTATCTAAGCACACACACCTGCTCTCGCTGTTTTTTCCGCAGCTCCTGGAGCTCGGCCCTCTGATTGGCCTGCAGGCTCTGGGCCTCGGCCTGGTGCTGCGCCTTCAGCCGCTCCTCCAGCACTCCCAGCTCCTTCTGCTGCTGAGCCCGCAATCCCTGCAGCTCAGATTTGAAGCGGCGCTCCAGTTTCTCCTTCTCCTGCTGCAGTTGCTCCCAGTGTGCAACACTGAAAGCTGGAAAACAACATAGAGCTTCAGTTTGTTTCACCAGATCCAAGTTCAGATCACAAGTGACAAGAATATAAAATAGGTTAGAGTTGTAAAATGTGTAATTTATTTATTTTGTGTTATTCCTCCAAATGTTTTTTATTTTTGGCCATTTTTGAAAAATGTTGGTAAAAAAATTCAATTAAAATCCTGTAGCATTCAGAGTTTGTTTAACGTTTGATATGAAGCAATGATAACAGGGCTATATTTCACACTTTATGGAGTTATGGTTAGCCTTCCATCAGCAGAGCTAATTCCTCCCTTCCCTGTGCTATACTGTATAACACGTCATGCAGAGAGCAGTGAGTGAGTCATTGCTTTGCTCCTCCCTGCGCTGCCATATCTGTCATGCTATATCCCACTTACCCACTTCATCCCGGATTCTGGCGAGCTCCAGGGACAGTTCCCTCTCCTTCACAACGGCACTCTCACTCTGAAACACATAAAGTATTGAACATCTCAGAACTGTATGAATAAATGTACAAACACCTAGTTACACTGTAAGCCTGACAGCTTAAAATGTATGTAACATAATTAACAAGAATGTTTTGGTTGATTATAATTAGTTACCAGGTTTTTGGTACTAGTTAATTGTATTCCAATATACTGAGAGCTGTGTAGTATTTTGTTGAAGGGAACACTGCTGGACCTAGAGCCACTGTGCTACACTTTAAATAATCCAGCATGAAGAAAAGAGAGAGTGTGAGATACGGTATTTGGAACCCAATATGTAAGCAGGAACATGTGCATCAAACAGGACTAAAGGTCACATACAGCTCCGGTCTACTGTACTTTTGATAAGATTTAGATAATTAACAATGTTGTGCTGCCTGGTGCTCGCAAATCATAATTGAGCAAGACCCATGAGCAATGATAGCAACATGGTTTGTATTATTTATGTGTATAATGAGACCTGCATGCAAATTACTTTCTCTGAAACACCACAATTTGACATCAATGTATCATCTGGACAGTTAAGGGTCTCATAATTCAAGGCAAGTTAGGATTGTTAAAAGTTGGGTTGTTTAAGGTACTTTTCCATAGTAAGTGTATTAAATACAGTAGATGACAGTTGGCATGTTCGAAGAAGCAGACAGTAGGAGCAGGGAAGCAATGCACTACTGTGGAAGTCACCAGAAAGAAAGCCTAGCAGCCGGAACACGGTTGCTGCTCTACTGCTGCCTCAATTGGTTATTTTCTTTGTGTTATTCTGTGAATTTGGTGTTTTAAAGAGTTACTTCAGATTCATCAATGTCACACAATAAAACACACACAAATGGATTGATGGATCGTGGACGTTTAGTATTCTTTGAAGGAATATTACTATTTTGTATCATGGCTTCTGTTCCCTGTCAGATATGACTTTCAAACGTATAAAGCAATGAAAATATTCTAAATATAGCTTATACCTAGTGTACTATACTGCTGCCTCCATTGCACAGCAGTATGTTGTTTTGAGACCGTACTTTGGTTAGTGGGGCGTGCCGATCGTAATCTTGTGGTACTGACTCTGTAAAAAGTACTTCATACAACCCCACTTCAAAACATGCAAACTATCCCCCTGTGCTTACAATACATGCTTTATGGTAGCCTGTAGGAGTCAACTATAACATTGTTGAAAGATTATACTCTGAAATAAACCATTATACATGATTTGCACCTCACAGGTGTACACTGTGGACTCATAATATGTGAGACCCTCAAAGCACCTATTACTCACAGAGGAAGACACACCATACACTGAATGGCTATTGATCTTTTAAGTTATGCACTGTTGCTCAGTGACAGATAGCAGTGCATACGAGAAACAAAGAAAGAGAGACACAGAGAGCAGAGGGTAAAATATGTATGAGAGACTGCACAATATGTCTCTGCAGTAATGATGTCATCCTTTAAGAGGTTTTACTTGGAGCATACAATCATCAGGGAGAAAATGCCATGACCTCATGAGGGATGAAGGATGGCCAGTACGTTTTTTTCCATGTATTACTCCTCAGCTCCACCTTTGCTCCTACCCACCATTCCCTCTGTCTGCAACGCCCCTCCAATTTAGTTCTCCAGGGAGTTGTGTGACATGAATTCTAATTTTCCCATCTGATATTCAGCCCTCAAAGAGGTACCTAAATAAATGATCAGGGCTGCAACAGATTATTGTTTCATTATCGATCATCTTGTTGATTATTTGTGTGGTTCCCGATCCATTGTTAGGTTAGCTAATGTTCTAGCTAATGTTTCTTTGATTCATCACAAATTATAAATGGCTTGTCACTAGTGATGTTTATCTTTTTGTGTCTATTGTCTAGAGATTTGAGTGTCACTTTCTGAAAAGCAATAAACATGGCTTTTTATTCTAACGGTGCTCATTTTCCATGAGACACTGTCATGAGTTAATTAATACATCAATCCAGTTTCAGTGGAACTATAAAAAGCATCCCAAAAGTGCATTTGCTTTTTTGTTTGGACTTAACAAAATTCAGGCTCCATTGAACAAACAGGAAGCTAAAGCTTCTAAAAAGAGAACCTGAAAGATGATTTCCTGTAGAGGATACATTCAGCAACTTCAGTTAAACATGTCACTTAGACATCGAGAGGAGGAGCACTCCTATACATTCAATAACATGTAATCACCCAGACTACTCCAGCACATACAGTTAAGACACAATGTACACGGCGAAATAGCAAACAAGTGTAAGGTTAGGTTATAGCAAAGCATTAATAACATGTTATGTAATGGCTCAAACTCTGAGGGAAAAGATAGAGGGACAGTGCGACACACAAGCCTGCTTTGACTCAGCATAATCATGCACAGCTTTACTCTCTGTTCTCCAGCTCTGTCTCTAGGTAACAACTGAATGTAACAGACAGACGCACTCAGACCCCCCCCCCCCTCACTAAACACACATGCGCACAACCACACATATAGAAAGGAATCCTCGGTGCTGAGACTAGCCTGCTGCCTGCAGAAGATGTACTGCCTTTACCGTTCGGTCCAGGAAGCACAGAGCCTACAGCAGCAACGGCCCATTCCAGGCTAGCAGGCAGCAGCATCCCTGAGCCCAGTGAGGAGGAGGCAGCAGTGGTGGATGCAAGTGCCAGAAAGATACAGAAAGAGAGACATAGGGGGAGGTAACCAGGCAAGGGATGGGGAGGGGAGGAGAGAAGGGAATACCGAAGCCTCACCTCGTGTCCTGGTTTGCGACCGGCGTTTATCCCTGCTGGAACAAAGACTGCCAGCCCTGCCCAGATCTGCCTGCCCTCCCCTCAAACCCCCACCAACACGCCCAGAATTACAGTCACTCGCATGGCAGCGAGCAACACACACACATGCACAGGCTTTTGCATCTTTGAGAAAAAAACAAAAAGAGTGGAGCCGGAGAAGCAGGGGGAGGGAGATGATCAATAAGTAACCAATTATCTGCTCTGTTACTCAGCTTGGAAAACACAGCTACACGCAGACATTTTGATACATACAGAAAACACGCTGAATGAATATCAAAGTACTCTAGAAAGCACAGACTGAAGCAAAGTGTAGCTTTGGATTAAATGTTTTTGTTGCAACAAGAACACTTCCATTGTATTGGCAATATATCAATACTATAATGATAGTGTGATATGAGACTTAATGTTGTCTTACATTTCGGATATCGTTATGGCACATAGTGTCTCTGAAAAGCTGCTTTACAGTAAAGTGATGTAATACAATGAATTGTACATACTGTCCTAGCTGTTATATCATTTGCTTTTAACCACTTAGTCATTTAATCCACATAAATACAATTAAAATGGTTTTGTGTTAGTATTTTGTGAAAGCAAAGGATGTTGAGGTATTTGATGTGTTGTGTTATACCCAGCCCTATAGAGTATAAAGCTATTTTTTGGTATTCTATTTCTCTTACACACTGAACCTTCTAAAGCCTCATCAATATGTTATCACTGCTTGTAAAAATCTAAAAATCCTGAACAGAGTCAACCAGTACTGATAAACAGTGGTGCTGGATGACAGGCTACAGGAAGACATTGAACAAATTGGAAGACATTGGTCAGTATCTAAGGTCAATACATCTAAAAGACCGTCTACACTGCCCATTAATCATTATAAGGGATTCAAAATCCAATTAAAGGAACATTTTAAAGGGGAGCCTAGCTGTCTTCTCCCCTCCGACCTTAGAGTACTCTTTCCATTAGACAATAACTCTCAGTCATAGCACCGCGAGGCACAGGCTGGGAGCTCTAATCTCATATATCATCTCCTACTGTAGAGCAGAACCCGTGGGTGGTGCTGGGAAATGGAGGCAGAGAACCAGGAAAGGGCAATAAACAAGAGCTTCATCCATACTCTAGATGCACAACACACACCAACAACAGAGATCATCTTATACAACAGCAAAATACGCTTGAGACGTACCAATTCAGATATTTAAAGTGGATGACAAATGTGTTTGTATCCCATTCGCTCGACAATTCAGCAGTTTACAGCTCTATTGAATACATTCTAATTTGCTCAATGAAGTTATGAAAAGCCATTGTACATCAAACATCATTTCCCTTTGAATGAAATGGAAAACACCATTTGTATTTCCCCTCATCTTCCTCACACATTTTACTGACACATACTTCTGCTTTGTAGGTATTCCCAACGTATTCAAAGTGACAGGCTATGTGAACAAAGTAAAGCTGACATCAAAAGCTAGATGCTTCAGGTGTAGTTGGTGCGTAGTGCTTTGTAGTTGCATTCTGACGCTTGCAACACATTTCCCTTCCTACACTGGACAGTTTGTATTAGCCCGGAACATGTCTGCAACAGCAGGATTAACTAGCATGCACATTTTTGATATAGACAAAAGATCAAATATAAATACAGGATTCTGCATGACATTGCATGACATTTGTCTACCCTCTGTAAATAAGACATTCCTTTATTCTTTATTCTAGAAGCTGAAGTCAACCCCTATTACTGTTATTCCTTGTGAATCATGCATGTAAAATTCAACTAATCAAGTTATGCCTTTGTTCCACAAAAATGTAAATGCAAACAAGGGCTGTTTTGACCTTGGCTAATTACAAAATAATTGATATTAAATATCTTTAAATCTCTCAAAATGCATCCCTTCTGAACCTCCAACTTTCTAATCTTGGAATTGATCAAATTCATGACACATTAATGAGTTCATTTATCAGAAATGAAAGCCATGGTATACTGGGATTCATACCTTATAGCCCTGTGAATGAATGACTTGTCATAGCTTCCTTAAACAGAGCTAAGAACGAAGGGGACTTGCTGTTTTTAATGTAGGATTCATTCAGATTTGGACTTTAAAACATTTAATGGGGCTCTCAAAGTGATGGCAAGACCAATATTGCTTGCAGGTCAACCCGTTGGAGGTCACAGAGCTTTGCTGTAGCCTACCTTGATACAGAAATGCTGGGTCGTGATGCTGAAAACGTCCAGACACAGAGAGGCTTTCTTTAGCTGGGCCTTTAGGCTCTGAACCTGCAGGTCCTGCTGCTCACAGCGCTCCCTCAGCTGCTGGATCAGAACCCGGTCCATCTCCTGGGCCCGCTCAGTCCGAACAGCGCCGTGAACTGCTGACGTCCGCCCCCGAGCTAAAGAAACAAAGAGCAGGAGGACAAAAACAATATGATGAAATATTTTCACTCATAACAAACTTAATGAAATACAGACACAATAACCAGGTATACCATATGTATTTTATTAGAACTAATCAACAATTTCTTCTTAAATAATGAACAAGCAAATAAAGATCGGGAGTGAAAATGACAGACATTACAATAAGTCATGTAAAGGCCAATTATTAGCTAGTTTCATTCAGAGTGTTGTGTTCTTGTCTCAGTTTTATATCACATTCAATTGAAATATTGTGTTTTGTTTTGACTAATGACTTTCTTTGAAACAATACTCCACCTCTTATTTTTTGTACCTTTAGTAAATAATTAATAGACAAAAACAACATTAACATTGATCAATATCCAATAGCAATACTAAAAAGCAGATTTATACTGCAGATACTATTAGCAGTTGGTATACTCTTGTAGCTGTAGAAATAAAGCGCTGATTGGTTGGAGCCACAGTGGTTTATATCCTCCCACCTGGTGGAAAATTGTCTTTCTGTTACTCAAGTAATTTCACTGCTCATCAATGAGCTGCAGTTTCCTCCTCATATCTTAACAATCATAATGGGAAAACACGAGTGCATCATGTGAGCAGTAGAGAAATTGAACTGTAACTCTACCCAGCTGATAATCTGTCTGTGTGCTCTCTGGGAAAAGGACAAATGCTGACTTGTTGTGGTAATCTGACCCAGCAGGGTTTTCTACTGAAAGAGCCATCCCAGCATTACTGCTCCTGTAGCTTGTTGCTATGACAACAGCAGGCTGCCATGGGTCTTGTAATGAAGCGTTGAGAGGGAGAGAGTGAGTGACTGTACAATTTAAAGGTACAGTAGCAACTGATGGTGCTGCATTATTGCGACTGCTGCTTTACTCCCGATGTAGCACTTAAGAAAAAAACTAAACATACCATATCAGATACATACTGGATGAGCATACAATTTGTATTCACATTAACATTAATTATTGTAAGACTCACCAGGGGACTGTGGCTTTGAAGAAACAACAGCAAATCTTTTAGCAGAGGAGTTTGGTGCAGCCTCCATGTCCTTCTGCATCTCTCTCCTAGAGGCTGTGCAGTAAAGAGACAGGTTCATATGTTATATCATATATTTGAAACAGGAGAAATACACTTGTTTTCTCTCATAAAGATTTAGATCGATTATTTGTCACATGAGTTACAGTTGAGGTATTTAAAGGCATCATTATAGTATTTTCTATTTCATGAACACCCTTTTATAAGACGCCGTAGACATTTTGTTCTTATCTCACATTTAAGATAACATGCAAAACATGAAGGTTTATAAATGGTTTCCTATGTCTACGATTATTTGTTGCACCTTTTCAAAGAAGATTAAATTAGGTTCCATTTGACCTGCTACAGAAATTCAAATGTTGCTTAAAATGAAAGGGCCACACATAATTGTTATTCAGTAAAACATGAAAACAAGGTACCTTTTGTGCTATTTTGGAAAATTAAAGTACTTCTTAAACAATCTTTAATCTTTAAATCTTAAACAATTTTTCTGGATATTTTTGGGATATTGTTAAAAAAATAAAATAAACATAAACGTATATAAACAAGATAAAGATGAGGACAATATGGTACTGTAATAATCATAATATGGTACTGTATGGCTACCATCAGTGTGGTAGCCATAATGTACACACAAGATTATTTTGTTGTTTTTTTGTTTTGCCATTCATGTATTACTGTAAATCGGTATGAAGATGAAAAACATGATATAGTAAAACAAAAAGCTATTATTTTTTAAACTTTCCAATATTTGATTTCGATCAGGGAAACATACACATTCTTCTTGCCTTTACATTATTCTATTGAATTACTTCTGAGAAGGTGAAATCAATCTTTTGTCTCAAAGTTTAAAACCAAAAAAGGTTGGGAGCTGCTGTAACCCACAGTTGGGGAAGGGTCTGAGTGAGGAGCAGTGTGTACAGTCAGTGACCACCAGCTGGAGTCGCTGCTCCACTTGTTCACACAGGCTCTGTGGCAAGAGGCTGAGATGCTCCTGGCTCCCAATGAAACACACTCTGTGCCATTGGGTGGTGCTGATACTCCACATTCACTGTAAAGGTGCTAACCATACAGTCTACAGTATGGTGCTAACACAGGCCACAAGGTGCACCAACCAACAACAAAGACGCGTACATCAGCAGAGAGGGAGTACTATATGATACTGTATCACTGATGTGTGGCAATACAAAGCAACAGTAAAATACATTACAGCAGGGCTCACTTTTATAGGTTAATTATGTTTCATGTTGCATTGCTTTTTTCAATCTAAAATAATATCTCCCACTGGGAAAGGGAAATGAACACTGGGCATGACGCGCCTGTCAGGAGGAACAATCAATCAATTTGTGTTGCTATAAAATCTTTATCACCATGAAGATGCTTTGTGGTTCCACCTCAGCTTCAAATTCTTCCAGCTCATTTTAGAGGTTTTATTTATTTATCAAAACACATGGGGGGAAATAAAAAGAGGATTTCTGGTTTTATCTGTAAAGTCCTTTAATGATTATTTTGTGCTAAGATACGTATTTATAATAATCATGTTTAATTACATGCAGAGACAACCAGGCTACTAATTACATTACATTACATGTTAGACGCTTTTATCCAAAGCGACTTACATTACATTGCATTTAGCTGACGCTTTTATCCAAAGCGACTTACAATAAGTGCATTCGACCAAGAAGATACAAACTTGAAGAAAACAGAATCATATAAGTACATCAGGTTTCATAGAGCTACAACATTTCAAGTGCTACTCAACTGGCTTTAGATAAGCCAGTCCTTTATTAGTATATAAGTGCTTTAATAGTAATTATATAGCCCGAAGTGGAGTCTAAAGAGATGAGTTTTCAGTCTGCGCCGGAAGATGTGTAAGCTTTCTGCTGTCCTGATTTCAATACTGCGGTCAAGCCAGCCGTCTTTCACTTTTGCGTGGTCAAACCAGCCGCCCCTGTATTTCGAGTGCGCGATTAGTTACAGGCTTACGGTAATGCAATAAAACAACCCTGGGAAGCTGGATTTCAAAGTAAAGGATGGCATGTGGTTCATTTCTATTATTTGCGATTGAGGAACAGGGTAATTTATGAGAATAAGTTTAGGACTTATTGCTTCATAAACTTGTTGCACAAATACTATGAACTACTTTTACTGTGTACTTTTTGAGAATGGCAAAATTCCCTCCAGAGAACAAGAAGGAGCATTTTTGTCTAACTTTGACATGGGATAAAAAACATTTCTTCCATAAGTAGTTTATGAAACTGCCATGTTTGTACTTAATACTTCTAGGACTACTTGCAAACATAATATGAACTACTTTTACTGTGTACTTTTTCAGTAATTTGAGTTTCAAAGTCCTCTCCAGAGAACAAGAATGAGCATTTTTGTCAACTTTAATGTGGTCTAAAAAACATTTCTTCCATAAGTAGTTTATGAGTCTGCCATGTTTGTACTTAGTACTTCTTAGACTACTTGCAAACATAATATGAACTACTTTTAATGTGTACTTTTTCAGTAATTTCAGTTTCAAAGTCCCCTCCAGAGAACAAGAAGGAGCATTTTTGTCTAACTTTGACGTGGGATAAAAAACATTTCTTCCATAAGTAGTTTATGAAACTGCCATGTTTGTACTTAGTACTTCTTAGACTACTTGCAAACATAATATGAACTACTTTTAATGTGTACTTTTTCAGTAATTTCAGTTTCAAAGTCCCCTCCAGAGAACAAAAATGAGCATTTTTGTCAACTTTAATGTGGTCTAAAAAACATTTCTTCCATAAGTAGTTTATGAAACTGCCATGTTTGTACTTAGTACTTCTTAGACTACTTGCAAACATAATATGAACTACTTTTACTGTGTACTTTTTCAGTAATTTGAGTTTCAAAGTCCCCTCCAGAGAACAAGAAGGAGCATTTTTGTCTAACTTTGACGTGGGATAAAAAACATTTCTTCCATAAGTAGTTTATGAAACTGCCATGTTTGTACTTAGTACTTCTTAGACTACTTGCAAACATAATATGAACTACTTTTAATGTGTACTTTTTGAGTAATTTGAGTTTCAAAGTCCCCTCCAGACAACAAGAATGACCACATTAAAGTTGACAAAAATGCTCACTCCTTTCCTGTAAAATACAGGTCCAGCCCACACATATGCTCCATCAAGGACGGTGCTACAGG